TTGGTTGTCAACTTGATGATGATTCATATATTAAATTACTTTCCTCACTCGTGTAAGGATTTTTGAACTTGAAGCAACTGGATTACATCCTCTAACATGAGAAAGAACAAAGAACATAAATTATCAATAAACAAATGGAATTGTTGATAACTAACAAAGATCACATCTCTTTGCAAGTATTGTTATGCCAAAAAGAAAAAACATACTTGCAAGTAAAGCCATGTATGGATGTGGATTAGCTACTCTCAATGATCTATATACTTCAAAAGGGTCATCAAATGAATGTGGATTCTATATGATCTCGAAGATATCCCCTATGAGTATATGCTCTTTTACTTGTAGTACAACTTTTGTATATGCTCTTTTACTTGTAGTACAACTTTTGTATATGCTTCATTTGTCATGTTTGAATTCTTTGTAGACATACCACATGGATGAGTATATAATTTACAGAATCTAAAGAGAAGGCAGCTTTGGACTAACTAAGAACAAAATCAAAACTCATGTTAAAGATAAACTAAGAAAAAAGATAAATTAACACCATAATACTAATGAAGGAATACACCAATGGCATCAATCACTCGATCACAAATTAACATTATGTTTCATCAAGCTTTTTTTAATAGAGAAGTGTCAATCTAACCTCACCCAATGAATAACATTTTCTCCCTATAGTGCAAATACACATAACATTCAAACATAGAATTGAAATATATACCCTACAAAGCAATTTATAAATTGTAGATGTAATACCTTTTCCACATGGTGAAATAGAATCATATCCTCATAGACACCTTGATGTATGTCATTCTCTGGTGCCTTTGAGAATGGAAGCTCTTTCTTCTCACATACCAAACTATATCATATGAGAAATGAAATTTGAGATGAGATTGAAGGAAGGAAGATGTAAAATTCAAAGGAGACAATGAAAAAAGGCTTAGCCTAGAATAGGAAAAAAATACCATTAAATCTATTTCTAGTTCTACCACCACCAACAATCTTTCCTTTTAGATAAAATGGTCTTGCAACATGTCCATCTGTGGATCCCATATTCCATTAAATCTCCAAACTGTAAATTGGTGATCTTATAATGTATCAAAAACTAAACATGAGATATACT